TGTCGTGGGCAGCATTCGAGCCGTCTCGCCCCCTCCCCAGCCTTCGCTGCGTATCGCGCCGACGAAATGATGAGAACTTTCTGGAATCTCGCGCGGAGGATATTTAATCGAGCAGCCAAGGTGAGAGATCAGGAGAAGACGGAAGTTAGCGCCAGAGCGCGTAGGGTATCCCGCCGTGTAGTCGGCGAAGGTTTTGTCCGTAGGGACAAAGCAGGAGAAGACGTGAGGTTTCCTGGAAGAGAAACTTCGGAGGAGAAGACGGAAGTTAGCGCCAGAGCGCGTAGGGATTCCGCCGTGTAGTCGGCGAAGGTTTTGTCCGTGGAGACAAAGCAGGAGAAGAAGATGATGTCCACCTGAGGGGTGACGACTCGAGCTACAGGCAAGAGTGTGTGTTTACCGCTATCGAGCGAAGACGCGTGGCAACAGCTGCGTGTGTGAAGCCGACGTGTTTCCGGCGAAGAAGTTTGAAGCTTGGAGAGTGACCTATTGAAGACGTGAGGTTTCCTGGAAGAGAAACTTCGGGGACCGCGGAACGACAACAACGCTGGACTTTGAGTGAGTGATTCTCGGAAGAGTATCATCCAGACTTTTGTTCCAAGAACTTTGGACTGAATAGGTTTCCTATCTCTTTAGTCTTTAAGTGTCTTGGTTGTTCAATGCATGCGACTGCATTGTAGTGCGTATTGTTGTCTGTGTCCGTTGTTTCGAGTGTGGCTGATTGTACTGTGTAGTATGTTGTTTGATTGGTGACATATTGTATGCAACTATTGTGGAGTGTGCATACTTGTGTATTGTTTTTTTGATCTGCCATTTTTGAGAATATAATTTTTGTTTTGTTTATCAACTCTCGGCTCTGACTTGTTCTTTGGGCCACAGCCGGCGTCCGCTTGCGCGCCAAAAAGGACCACTTCTGAATTGTCCATGCTTTCGTGGTGCGGTTCGGGGGGCCGATACTTCGGCCTTTGGAATTAGCCCGGCGATCGCCTCCCGAATTAACGGGACCTGTGTGTGACAATCTGGCGTTCGCGACGAGGACCTTTTGGTGCACAGTGTGTCCAAAGTAGTGAGAAAGAGCCTCGAGTTGTTGATAGTGCTATCGGAACGATTTTGTGTGTTGCTCTGTGTTCTCGTTAACGAGTGCAGTGGAGTGTTCCGATAGACTGATTTAGGCAGATATTTTTTGCAAGCAGCAAGGTTTTATTTGCGAGACACAATGGATCTTGAAAAGCTAGCAGCTTTTGGTGAGAAGATGGGTCTTTCTGGCGCCGAACTACGGAAGTGGGTCACCCAGAAGGAAAAAGAAGAAAAAGAGAGAGCCAAGAAAGAAAAAGCAGCTGAGTTGGAGAGAGAAAGACTGGCAGCTGAGAGGGTGAAAGAAGAAAGAGAAGCGGAGATGGCTGAAAGGGAACGGCAGCGGCAGCACGAAATGGAACTCGAGCGCCTTTGTCTGCAACAGCGAAGTGAAACTCCAGTCCAAGCTAGAGTTGAAAGCAGCGAACAGGAGGACCACGGCTTCCGCTTGAACCCAAGCAAGCTGCTCGTGGTGTTTGATGAAAGGAAGGACGACCTTGACGCGTACCTTCACCGATTTGAGACGATTGCGAGGAGCCAGAATTGGCCGGAACATCAATGGGCAACTGCTTTGAGTACTTGCTTGAGTGGGGAAGCGCTCAGTGTGTACGGTAGGCTGACGCCGACCGATGCAGCCAACTATGCAAAGGTGAAAGCTGCTTTGCTGAAGCGATTTAGATTTACTGTGGAAGGATTCCGGGACAGATTTCGGACAGGAAAGCCAGCTGATGGTGAGACGGCTACGCAGTACGCCGCCCGACTTTGCCATTATTTCGACAGATGGATTGAACTTTCAGGGACAGCGCAGGAGTACGATGAACTTAGAGAGCTCCTAATTAGAAAACAGTTTCTCACTAGTTGCCACCCAAGCCTGTCGCTGTACTTGAAAGAGAGGAAGGCTGACTCACTTGAAGGAATGCTTGAATTGGCTGATCAATTCTTGGAAGCGCAAGGTGGCACTAATTTGGCCAAGGTCAAGAAGGATTGTCCCGAAGATTAGAAGAAATTGGCTCCCGAAGAAAAGAAGCGTGCACCGGAGAGCATTCCGCGATGTTTTCTGTGTAACCGAGTGGGTCATCGCGCGAAAAACTGTCGAACGATCTTTACGAGCCCTACGGTTGTGAAATGTTTCAAGTGTGGTCAGACTGGGCACAAAGCAGACGCATGTCGAAACGGAGCGAGTCAAACTCACCAGGTATCCTGTGTGCAAGCGGCACCGAAATCCGGCAATAATGCCGTCACAGATGGATTCGTAGAGTTGAAAAGTGGGGAGAAAATTCCTATTGTGGGTGCTGTAATGGCAAAACAGCCAACCGGTGTTACGAAGGGAATGCCAACGCTGCCTGGAAAAGTTGCAGGCAAAAAGGTTACGGTGTTAACAGACACCGGTAGCTCCACGGTTATCGTGCGGAGAAATTTGGTACGGGAAAGTGAGTTAACAGGCAAAACGAAACCGGTTTGCCTAATCGACCGTACGGTTCGGATGCTTCCCGAAGCAGAAATTGAGGTTGAAACCCCGTACTTCAGCGGGAAGGTTACTGCTTTATGCATGACGACCCCCTTGTACGACCTTGTCATCGGGAACATCGACGGGGCGCGAGGGTCGAATGATCCAGAACGTTTGGGGGAAGACCCGAAGATAGAGCCCTCGCCAACCCAGCGGCCGCGAGATACAGTGGAGGAGCATCCCGTGACGGATCTCACTCGAGCCCAAGGTGAAGCCGCGGTGCAAGGGACCATGAATGATAAGATGATCGTGTTGAATGAGTTCACGTGCTGGACAGCTGGACGTACGTCGGCACGACCTCAACCGACCGGCAGTGTAAAGGAGACGGAGTCGGCCAGCCGGGCCAAGTGTAGAGACATGAACAAGATGGTAAGTAAACAGACAGGACCCGTCGAATGTTATGACCCGTTAACGATGTCGGAAATGACAACGATGGCTGAGACGCCGCCTCAGATACCGTCGCTGGAAAGGGCTCGCCGAAAAAGAACGAGGAAAAACAAGAAGAGGTCGAGCGAGCACCGCAAAAAAGGGCGCAAGCGCAGCTCGAAGTACTCAGGATAGGTGCTGAGGTCAAATTGGAATGCGTTTGTCTGTGTTGAGCCTCAATGTGTTGTGTTTTGTTATCCTGTGTCACAACTGTATGTCGAGTGAGTCAAAATTTTTGTTGCAATGATGTGATGTATAGTGTTGTATAATTGTTGTAAAGACAGAACTTTGTACGTTTGTATTGTTTGGAATATGTGATGGAGTGTTGCATTCAGGTACCTGTGGCTATATTTCATGTGTTGTGGAATTGAATTACAATATACAGTTGTATTGAGTGATCTATTGTGAATGTGAAGTGTCATGAGCGACGGATTGTGTTACAGTCTGTGAGAGTGTGTAGTGACTGTTTGCGCTCGTTTGTGTGGTTTTGAATATTATGAGATAATATTCCTAAAGTGGGGGGCAGTGTCACAGAACGAGCGCTCAAAAAGAGCGCGCCGCCAACTCCTCGCGACAAAACGCCGGAGTGACGCCGCAAGGTCAACGATAAAAAAAAAGAAAAACAAACATCCAGACTCCCCGGGCGCGACTCCCTCCCTCGGAAGCGTAGATTCGCCGACGAACCTCCTCACCCCACAACGGCGGCCGAGCAAGCACTCGAATTTTCTAGATGCTGACGAACCTCCTCACCCCACAACGGCGGCCGAGCAAGCACTCGAACTTTCTAGATGGAAAGGGGCGTGGTTGAAGCCGGGTTGAGTCATCTGTCGCGGGCAGCATTCGAGCCGTCTCGCCCCCTCCCCAGCTTTCGCTGCGTATCGCGCCGACGAAATGACGAGAACTTTCTGGAATCTCGCGCGGAGGGTATTTAATCGACCAGCCGAGGTGAAAGATCAGGAGAAGGCGGAAGTTAGCGCCAGAGCGCGTAGGGTATCCCGCCGTGTAGTCGGCGAAGGTTTTGTCCGTAGGGACAAAGCAGGAGAAGACGTGAGGTTTCCTGGAAGAGAAAATTCGGAGGAGAAGACGGAAGTTAGCGCCAGAGCGCATAGGGATTCCGCCGTGTAGTCGGCGAAGGTTTTGTCCGTGGAGACAAAGCAGGAGAAGAAGATGATTTCCACCTGAGGGGTGACGACTCGAGCTACAGGCAAGAGTGTGTGTTTACCGCTATCGAGCGAAGATGCGTGGCAACAGCTGCGTGTGTGAAGCCGACGTGTTTCCGGCGAAGAAGTTTGAAGCTTGGAGAGTGACCTATTGAAGACGTGAGGTTTCCTGGAAGAGAAACTTAGGCGAGGTTTCCTGGAAGAGAAACTTCGGGGACCGCGGAACGACAACAACGCTGGACTTTGAGTGAGTGATTCTCGGAAGAGTATCATCCAGACTTTTGTTCCAAGAACTTTGGACTGAATAGGTTTCCTATTTCTTTAGTCTTTAAGTGTCTTGGTTGTTCAATGCATGCGACTGCATTGTAGTGCGTATTGTTGTCTGTGTCCGTTGTTTTGAGTGTGGCTGATTGTACTGTGTAGTACGTTGTTTGATTGGTGACATATTGTATGCAACTATTGTGGAGTGTGCATACTTGTGTATTGTTTTTTTTATCTGCCATTTTTGAGAATATAATTTTTGTTTTGTTTATCAACTCTCGGCTCTGACTTGTTCTTTGGGCCACAGCCGGCGTCCGCTGGCGCGCCAAAAAGGACCACTTCTAAATTGTCCATGCTTTCGTGGTGCGGTTCGGGGGGCCGATTCTTCGGCCCTTGGAATTAGCCCGGCGATCGCCTCCCGAATTTACGGGACCTGTGTGTGACACCCGTCCTAGATGCGCTATACCTCAGATACTGTGAATAACCAACAAACCCGCCGTGCAACTTTAGGAGCAGAGAAACGCTCTAAGCTGTCACATTCATGGCTCTCTCGTATGATCGAACCTGTGTTCCAGGTGCATCCGCAGGATCGCCCTCCCGGTGGCACCGACCATTCCCCGCTGTGGGCACCCGAGGATGCGTGCAACCATGCGGCCTGGATCACGAATCTGGTCTGCACACTGGTTCGGTGCTGTAATGACCCTGTCTTGTGGGCTCTGCTGCCTCTCTGCACAATGGCGGTTAGTGGGCCTTTTTGCATGGCAAGGGTAGTGTCACTATGTGAATATGTCTATTTGTAGAAATTTGTCCTGTGTGTGGTTGTAAAAAATGAAGAGGTGTAGCACTCAGACATAACTGATAGAATTTTGCCTACCAGACTAACCCGTCGTGGTGTCTTGGTTTTCTGATAATGATGCCATTCCGAAGCTGTCTCATTCCTGTATTTTTATGCACAAAACACCTGTAGCCTACAGTTTTTTTTTTCTTGGCGATAGTCCAACAAATATTTTTTTTTTTGATGAAGGGAGAAGCCACCTCAGTTTTTTTGGCACAAAAACTAACGCGAATTCGTTTTGGGCTTGCTTTCATGCGATTTTACAGCGAAGCTTTTGACATGTGGCATGGAAATATTTTTTATGTTGAATTCTTATCACGGAGAAGCTAGACCAAGGGGCTTGGCTCATTCAACATAACACCAACCTAGCACTGCTCTGTGCAACACCCGTGGTTTCAATGGCAAGCCTCAGGGGGAGATTGGGTGCAATAGCTTTGCATAATGGCCACTTCTGCTGTGCACTGGACCTGCATTTCTTTTGGCTTTACGTGAGTAGAGGACATTCCGAAAAAGACTTTACCATCAATTGTGGTTGACAAATTCCTGGTTTGGAAAAATTGATTTTTTCAAACGTTAAAGAACTTTTTTTTCCTTTTTCGTACTGTCCAATTATTATAATGATTTTCCAACAGCTTCATGTAAAAAGAAATACTTCAGGGACTGTAGTTTGTGTAAAAGGTCGGTTATGAAATTCAATATAACCAAGTAAATTTTCGGTTTTGCCGGCTTCATTGTTGAGGCTTAACAGTATGAGGAGTTATCTGCTGCGAGTCTGACTTTGTTCTATTAAGGGTAGAGTGTATGTCTTAATTGTAAGTAGGGGTTGAAGAATTTTAAGATAGTTCTTTATATCACATGGACGTTTCTGCAAGGTGGATCTGTGTGAGCTGCTGTTGCCGCTGGTGGTGGAGACTCTAGCAGACGATGGCACCCACTGGAATGCGGTGGTGGCGGGCATGGCCACCTTTCTGCAGTGCCATGCTCAGCTCAAGGACGATGCCCCCCAGAAGAGCCAGTCGACTGGGGTCTCAGAGCCAAGTATGTTCATGCAATATGTCTCTGCTGTTTTCACATTTACTTGCTAGCCAGTTGAACTTGCAGCCAGTTGAAGTAAAAGCTTTATGTAATTAGAGACTCTGCTCCAATCTGTACTGTCATCAATGAATTGACAACTCCAGCAGCTCAGTGTGCACCGCCATTTCCGATTCCTTGGAACCAGTCCTTGCAAGTCTTTTTTGAACATCTTGGACTCCAGACTACTCTTACACAACCGCTGAGGAAGTGATCTCAAACACTTTCTAGTTGTGACTGTCTAACTGTGCGTGGGGAACACTGACATTTGTATGTGCGTACCACCTGTTCCCTCTTTCCTCGTTGCTTTCTCTACAGGTGCAGCATGGTTGACCTCCCCACCAATATTTTGCCTCTCTCTCTTCCAGCAGTGAAATATTGATAATGCAAATATGTGATGCCAAATAATGGAGGCATTTAAAGGAAATTAAATTTACTTAGAGATATTATTTTTGCTTAAATGCTGTCACTGCTTCAAGTCTACACGGAGCAGCTTAACCGCCCAAGTTTTACTGCTGCAGTACAATCTCGATGATACGAGTTCAATAGGAGCATGCAAAATATTCGTTGATTGATTGATATGTGGGGTTTAACGTCCCAAAACCACCATATGATTATGAGGGACGCCGTAGTGGAGGGCTCCGGAAATTTTGACCACCTGGGGTTCTTTAACGTGCACCCAAATCTGAGCACACGGCCCTACAACATTTCCGCCTCCATCGGAAATGCAGCCGCCGCAGCCGGGATTTGAACCCGCGACCTGCGGGTCAGCAGCCGAGTACCTTAGCCACTAGACCACCGTGGCGGGGCGAAAATATTCGTATGAAAAAAAAAAAAAGTTAAAGGTGATTATGAAGATGAACAAGAAGTTTATTGGGGTCAAACACATATTGTTGAAGAAAGTTCGTGATGTTCTTTTGAACTTTCTGGCCTTCACCATCTCTCAATAAAGTGCCACGGTTTCCTCACTCATGCTGCTGGTGCTTAAAGGCCCATTCTTATTTGACATTAAAAGGGAACAAAAGTGGCAATACTCACTGTAAATTCACTTGCTTCGCTGCTTAAGCGGCCAGATAACTGCGTCGTGAAGTCAACTTGAAAGAAATCAGTCCTGGAGAATTCAAGCGAAAACGCCATTGTGGTTGGAAAACCACGTCTGCACCCTTCGAGAACGTTCACAGTTGTTGTACCCTTCGTAAATGTCACCGCCATCATCGCCACTTGAGAATTCATTTCATTTCACCTGCTTCCTGAGAATTAATATCCGTACTGAGTTCTAGTTATGCATAAAAAGTGCCAAAAAGAAACAGTTTATACCTTTGGAAACGTTGTTTCAGGAGATATGCCAGCAGAAACGACACAAGTGGGTAGCGTCACTTTCGGGTGCACCGACAGAGGTTCCGACTGAGTCAGCCGGCAGTGCAAAAGTGAGACATGTTAGGGCATGCCAACTCGCTTCTGCACTTTTCTTTTATATTCGGTGTTCTCAGCGATCTTAGTCCAAACCAGGCTCTCCATGAATGCATCCTTACCAGGGCCATGAGCTTTGACGCGCTGCACGGGTATTTTGCGATAGCGCGGACGCAAGCCACCGCCGACCTTTGTCGCCTTGTTGAACTCATGGCTGGTTGTTCACATCATAGGTAGGGAGTACGTTGGGAGGTTCCCTCCAGGCTGCATCAGGGGGGGACTAGACCCCCTTAGAGCTAGCCTGGCATATTTATTAAAAGCTTGACTAATGCTGTCATCCACCGCCAATGGATTGTTGGCCATTCTATCTTGCAGCTGTTTCACAGGGTACTGTTTATGCACGTTTCTTTCTTTTTTTTTTTTTTTTTCAAGCTTTTGAAATTCCGATCATGAGGCAGTGACAAGTAGGGAGTCTGGCGCCGTAGTCGCATTGACAATGAAGTCACAAGGTGACAAAAATTGAGGCATTTGCACGGCTTTTGCGCAAAATAAGTAAACACAGAATATATGCGTTTGCATCAAGAAAGCAAAAGTTTTTTATCTAGCAGACATTTGCTTATCATGTTCGCAATAATTTCGAAAAGTCTTTCCCTCTCTCTCTTGAAGTATATATAGTTCAAAAGAATATATCAAACACGTAAAAAAAATTGTTTGGGAAAGAACTGACGTTTTGGCCGCGGGGCTGGCCTTCGTTGAGTGATGCACACGTGACAGTAGCCACTGGTTACTTGGCTACGGTCGCATGTGTGTATCGCTCTGACAAAGGTGGGTCCCACGGCCGAAAGAAACGTCAGCTTTTTCTGGAACGACTTTTCTCACATGCTTGGTATATTCTTTTGAACCTTTATTTCCCCGTTCCTACATGGGAGCGGCCCGCAACGTTGCTCTGAAGAAGGAGCGTTTCTTAGGACCCATTAAAGTTCTTTGTTTGTCTGTCTGTCCGGGTCCTGCGTTAGCTCCTCAGTGTGTGCGTGCATGTGTGTGTTTGTGTTGAAGGGGGTAACGTTCTAGCCGCATGCAGTCGTACTGTGAACGATTAACGTCCCCTCCTCGTAGCTCAAGTCGTCATAGCTACGATGGGTTCGGGTGAATAAGGCAACAGGCTAGGTCAACAAAACAACACTTTATTGCTATGTTAGCAATAACGCGTAAATGTCGCTTGTCGCATAGAGGGACTGTTCACTCTAGGAAGATAATAAAGGGCATGCGCTTACGTCTTTCATCGTCGATCGCCTTGGCTTGGAGGCAAATCCGGAGGTTTGTCCTCCCTATGTGGTTGCCAACGCAAAAGAGGGCGTATCGCTGCCGGCATCAGGGGCGGATTATCCATGGTTCAAAGGGTTCAAATGAACTGGGCCCTCCGGTTTTAGAGGGCCCCCCAAGGGCTAGAAAAAATGGCACGCTTTGTTGTTTTGTTCGAAAAAGTTTAACCCTCCTGCTGGATTCCCTTGATAGAAACACATTAATTAAACCTGCTTATAACGAACCTTCATATAATGAATTCCTCGATGTAGCAAAGTTTTGCTAGTCCCCGTTATTGCTCCATAGAAGCGCATGTGTTTGTGACCTCTATGTAACAAAGTAACAGCAGGAGACAACCTTGGTATAACGAATTTTCCCCACGAACAATGTAGGAATTTGTTCCGAATTTGGCATTTTGGTACGAGCGTGCATGTTCCACGGGTGCCCCGTTGCCGCCGAAACGCAAAGTGACGGTGCGCATGGCGCACCAGGCGAGAGCGAGCGCTGGTTATCACTCGGGGGTGAGCGCGAGGTTGGCAGACGGGCCTGCACCCCACGCGCTGGCGTTGCCGTCGTTCTTGCGGGTGCATTCGTGGAGATTCCCTGCCCCCCTCTCCATTCTAAACCAAAAAAAGAAAGGAAGAAACCTACTTTTGCGCTTAGAAGTGTGGCAGTTTGGGCTAGTTGGTATGACAATGCTCGTGTCCTTCTTGTCTCTTTGTCGTTGTTCTGTTTTCGTGCTTTAACTATTGTCGTGTCATACTTTTGCGCGTTGACAGCGCCAAGCTTTTAGGTAGCATCACATATGTGGGGTCGTGCGCAATATGGAGGGCGCTTTGCCGAATAGTTTTCTGTGTAATCAGTGTCTGTGTCCGTGTTGATTGCTCTTCGTTTTCGATGCCGTGTGCACGTGCGTAGTTTCACTGCGCGCGCATGGTGTGGCCTCCGGCGAAGGCCAGCTTTGCTTCTTTATTGCGATAGCAATTATCTGGGAAGTCTTGGCTGTCTAGTTTCCTGCCATCGCTGCCGCTGCCGTTATTCACCGTATATGTATACATATTTATATATATGAAAATTTAAAAAGAAAGGCGCCCGTGCTCGGCCCTTAGGTCGTCACAATGCGCTGACCAAGGAGGTTCCTTGGCGCCGACACGCGCTTATCAGCCACTCGTACTTTTCCCCGCAAATGGGGGTGGTTGTAGATGCTTATGCGCACGCACTTATTGTTCACCGGGGAGAGAGAAACGTCTTTATTCACAAAGGCATAGAGAAAGAGGGCCTGGGAGGAACCCCTAGTCTGGGCTCCCTAGGACGACTGTCGGGCCCACTGTATCGGAGCTCAGAGAACCTCGGGAGGTCCATCGTGGAGAGGATCATCCCACAGCTCCTTGTTACGTAAAGGGTGAAGGAAAGCAGGGAAGGGAGGAAAGATGTTCGCAGTGCACTCAATTGAGACATGGAAGGTCGTGGGCGAGTTTGCACAGCCGGGACAACGGTCTGCATAGCACTGCGGGTAGAATTTATGAAGTGATACTAGATTGGGAAATGTTTTAGTCTGTAGCTGGCGTAACGCTACTGCCTCCTCTTACGAGAAAGATGGCGAGGGGGCGCTCTGAGTGCGCCTTCGACTTTGACTAGTAGGATTGCATTTAGTTGCCGGGCACACAAAGATCACTTCGCTCGCTGGACAGGCTCCGTTTGCAAAAAAAGTGGGCTTTTCAAATGCAGCGAAGTAACTGGGACACTTGTTAGTTTGCACTCATATGTGTACCTCGGATTACGTTTCGTGCCTCGTTTTTTGCTTAAACAGCGCGTTAAAATTCGAGCTGTAAACGTTGTTAGTTAGCTCTCGTCCTGTGTGTGTTATTTTCGTGTCATTTGTGCATGAGCAGCACGCTGTACATTTCGATCTGCTTGCCGTTTTCAGCGTTACATTCCAAGCTGTTACTATCACATTCATTGCTTCGCCCTTGCTGGGAAACTGTGACTTTTTTTAATTTTGGACAACTGTGTCATCACCATCGAGGGGATGTCTGATTAGGCACTGATGGAAAGTCTCCGAGACCACGGCGACGACAGATCTTCGGAAGTCGGCTTGTTATGCGCTTCCCCGTTGCGCCGCGAGTTCGCAGGCTGGTAGCTTTTGCGATTAGCAGATTAGTTCTGGCAACACAACGGAGCGTTGAATGCAATGCAATGAACGCGATACAAAAAACTGTAATGTTATAAGAAGTAAGGCCTAGTAGCCAACTATT